CATTAAAGGAAAAAACAACAACGACGACAACACACACAGCACAATAGTTGTGTGCATAGATCGGAGTGTGTGACTATGCGTTTGCAGCACAAATTATTGCTGTAAAATGCAATCCTTCTCTTTCTCGTTATCACTCTTTCTTTTGTCCTCTCTAAATCGTTCTTTCTCTATTTGTTCGGTCGCATTGTGGTGAAATAGGAAAAGAGTTCGACGATATGTTTGGCGCTGATATTACTCGAAATGAACATCATCAAATTAAAGTGCACTTCGAATATGCCAGAAGAGAACAGAAAAAAATGATAATGGGTGAACAAGAGAATCCAGCAACGAATATCCCCTGAACTCATCGAAAGATAGATATTTGTTGCTGTGTCGACGTAAAAGAGGAATAATCTTAATATACGAAACGAAAAAACAACAACAACACACAAACGAAGAACAAATAAATACACTGAATCCGTATCCAGTATTTCGGGTCAGTGGCCGAAGATAGAAAGAGCACACGATACAAGTTTTAAATGCGCGCATTTACAAACACAAACACATACGTTCTGTGTATTTTTGGCTTTTGTTTCGTTCTGTTCTCCTTTAAAGAAAAAAATGCGCGGCCGCGCACACACACACTCGCGCTCACGGACCGTGTGTCGTTCTCTGTCGATTTCGTTTTTAATCTTAATTTTCAGTTTGTTCTCTCTTTTTTCTCAATGTTTTCAATTTGGATATCTCGATTCGATTCCCGTTTGCCTGATGTCACACATGCAAGCATCTTAATGTATTGCTGCAAACGATTCGATCTTGTGCTCCATAGAATGCGTTTCATTGCGATCCATTTCAATCTTCACTTTTCCTTTTCGTTTTTTAATTATTTTTTTTTCCCATTCGAATATTTTTGCATCGAATTTTATCGCCACAGCTCGCACATAGAGATATACATTTACAAATTTCTGATCATGATGTGTGATGACGCAGTTTTGTTGTTGTTATTTTTGCATCACAGTATTCTGTCACTTCGATAAAATTTGCTCATAAATTTTCCATTGATCGACTCTCTTGCGCGGTCACATGCACCGCATAGAAATGAAGTGAAGAGAAGAGAAGCCCCAAGGATAAACGATACCGAGAAATTGAAATACAAATAAATCCATTTTAATTCGTCGGTGTCTCGCTCTCGCGCGCTCCTGAGCTTGCTTTGCACGTCTTGTGTGTGCACAAGAATATTTTCTTTTTGTGTTTTGACTAAACAAAGAAAAGAACTACGAGACGAAAGAGAGAAAGAGACAGAAAGCGAACAAGAGAGAGATTTGAGTGTTGACTTTTAAATTCTAGATAATTGACTTTATATATTTTGATTCAAAGCGTCGATAAAATCACATTAAATCTTTCAATTCAAACAGATAAAGTATTTTCACGATTGAAATGTGTGCGCACGTTTGTTCGTTGTAATTTCTTTTCCCTTTGTTTCATTTCATTATGTGTATTTGGATTGGAGTACATGAAAATGCAAATCAAATCAATTTCTCTCTGATTCAAAGTCATTGAAATTTTATTGTTATACCCCATATACTGCATCTGATCTACAGAGCAATGGTATCATTGATATGAAATCGCAACCTAAATCTGCGTCGGTTTCATTAGTCGAATGCAAATCATCGAACCAATTTTTCTTGTTTCAGTAATTAAATTCCACTTTTATTCAAATTTGAATGCAATAAAAGTCATCAAAAGCGAATGAATTAAGCGGAAAAAGTGGCAGCCGACACAAAACATCGCTTTTTTATTATTTGTTTCCAAAGAAAAAACCCTTTGAGAATCTCGTGTGATTGTATTCGTTTATTCCAATTAATTTTTGTTTTTGTTTGTGTTAAAGTCAAAAACTCCTACTGAAAGTGCATTTAATTTATGAACCAATTTACATATTCGGTGCTTTCGTCCATCGAACCGAAATGTAATGTAAATACATTTTTATTTTATATTGAATACTTAAAAAAAGAAACGAAAAGGTAACCGTGGAACATATCGGCTCGTACAAATAAATCACACACGTGCGCGCGCACAAAGATAGACACGCGCATTTCATGCAATAAAATCATTTACGAAATGAAGACGAAAACGGAACAAAAAGAGAAAAAAATCCCATCGAAAATGTGTGTAGTAACAAAGTAATGTGAAATTGTGATATGAACAAATGAAAATATGCTATAAATTCATCACGGTTAAGTAAGCACGCACATACACACACACACAGTTCACTGCCTGGATTATCAACTGGTTTCGGTGGTGTGGTATTATTTATTTATCGCACTCGCGAGTTTTTTTTTTCGTAGCCAAAGAGACAATGTTGCAGCGTGCAAGTCTAATGATACCGATACGATATACAGCACGCATATTACACACCGTATTTATGACGGCTCTTTTCAATATAAATGTGTACCCATTTTGGTTTCTTATTTAATTTTGCACATGAACTACGTTTATTGCCATTTTTTTCGATCGGCAATACATTTGAACACATGCATCGAAGCGTGTGAGAAAGAGAAAAAAATTGCCTATAATGCATGTGCCGTTGAAGACAAGCAAAATCGAAGACCCAACTCAACTAACTTAATATGCAAACGAAAATTGCATGAGAACTCTCTTGGCGTTCTCGCAAGTGTCCATGCTGATGGTTTTTTTATTTCGAATTAACTTTTAGCATTGCCGCTTGTGTAAATATTGTGCGAATTGTGTAGCAAGTAGACGGACGGAGAAAAGAAATAGATTTCGGTTTTTGTCGATGGTTCAACATATGCACAACGGCAATACCATAAAACAAGGACTGTTTATAAACATCTGAGATCCGACACATTTAATGAAAATATTTACTACTATACCGATTTCTCTCTCTCTATTTGGTTTTCATACATAATTTCGAAAGAAAGAACATGCCAAAACATGTTCGTAAATGAAAACCAGATCATGTGTGGTTTCTTTTATAGATTTTTCATAATTTCGGGTCCAAATTACCATAATAATTTATTTAATTTTGTTCTTTGCATTTTACTTTCGAAAAAGGCATATTTACCACAAAACATCAACAGATACATAATATAAACGAAAGCGAATGAATTGAAGATCAAAATGTCCCGATTAATTAGTTACCATGAAAAATTCAGTTTAAAATTTTATTAAATGGTTTGCAAGCTGTCGATTAAAGCAAAATGAAAAAGAACCAAAACAAAAACCAAATCAAACACATGTCAGTGTGTGCGTGTTCTTCAACATGTGTCAAGTAATTATCCAAAAGTCGAATAGAAGAATGTTGTGTTTTGAGGAATACGGAAGAAAAGGCAACAATTGGTCGAAAATGACAAACATAAAATGCGTGAGGAGCTGTAATTTGGCGGTTCATTATGTAAAATGCATGTATAAGCCACTCATGGCCATTTGGATTGAGTAATCATTTCGAATCGGACTGTGAATACATGTGAAAGTCATTGTTTTTAATCAGTACATGTGAAGCATGAACGCTTGCTTCCTGCTGGCCTCAGTTGTTATACGGAAAATAGACTGGAATTCAGTTGAAAAGATGCGATAATTCTCGTTATTTTTTAACCTAGTGGCCCACACGACGAAATAAGGTTGATCAGAGCCAAAAATCATTTCAATTAATTTGAGTTTGATTGTGTCAGTCTCATCTAACACATAAATTCGAATGCTTTATCATATCATTTGGCACATTAACTTCTTATTATCGTATTGTGCATTTTTTTCTGAAACGCCGATCACACACAGATCACAAACAATTTGCCGCTACCGCTTCATTTAATCTATCTCAATTTCCTACACAGTTCTTTTTTTTTCTTCCCAAATATCTCGGACGAACAATGGATGAAAATTAAATTACAAACTTATTTACCATTTGTTTGGGTATGAAACATTTTTATCTTTGGTTCATTGGAAAAGGAGACAAGAGCGAAGAAAAAAAAAAAGAAGACCTTCACTGCATGTGGTGACGAAGTCGAAGATCGCTAATAATAACATTCATTCAACTAAAGCGACGAAAGAATACTGGATATAGAATGGAGAAATGGCAACTGCGGTGTGTGGAAAACCTATTCTTGTTTCTTCTCCAATTGTTGGTTGGACCGATTTGTGCTGCCTTTTTTTGGAGAATTCCATTTGTTTTGCCACTTTGTACAACGATGACTGATAACATGGGAGTAAAAAAGGGACACACAAAACAACAGAAAACATTTCTTCATTGGACCTATTGTTGTTAAACGGCAAGAACAATTTCGTTCCAGAACTAAATAGAGACAGAATGGAAAAGAAGCTAAAGAAAAAGAGATCGATAGAAAGAAGCGGCAACTTCTAACGGTCAATTGATCGATTCAAGAAATTGTCGAAATTTTACTAAAACTAATTCCATTTGTGTTACGTTTTCAATGTTTGTTTGTTTCTGTTTTGAAAATTTTGTTACAAGTGAAATTCAATCCTCAGAAGGACTCTTTTGGGTGAATGAATCTCTATCTATTTTGGGCTGGTTTTTTTTTTTGGCTGTATGTGTGTGATTTCCTTTGTTGCATTCGTTTTATGGTATTTTCCTAGGCCACACCATAGACACTAAACAGATATAAACAGAAGTAAACATGAACAACATTTTTTTCTCATCTTCTTTCAATCCCATGAATTTTGGATTCGGATTTGGTGTATGTAACACGATTTACTTCAAATATTATTACACATTTCTCTTTATCTTCGTTCACATTTATATTATGGTTAACATTGATCCTTCTTCAAATCAATGTCTTTTTAAACGAAAAAAAATAATATTTTCATCGCTTTCTAGTTATCGATTTTAGGTCGTTCTTCTCATTGCTTCTTCCAAGGCGACAATTTCGTTTTCTTTTTGAGTCGGTCACATTTTCGGTTATATCACACTTATTCCATGCTTCGTTGTATTTTGCGCAAAATGAATACTGTATATATGTGGAAAAAAAAGAAAGAGAAAGATAACTTACTTGGCGATGGATTGTTGTTCGTTTCAGTCCAATGTGTCGCTGCTTGACATCCAAATGCTGTTCGATTCAATGTTTTACAACAAGACCATTTCTTTCCCGACCATAAACCAGGGTGATATCTGTACGATTTTGGGCTGTATGTTTCCTCGCATACTGTTGTACAACGATATTGTTTTTTTTTTGCACCAACATGTGTAGTTGCATGGCACGAACGAGAGAAAATGAGTAAAAAGAGAAAATAAGCAGAAGATAAATTTTGAGTAAATGAGGTTATTTTCCGTCTTTTCATGGATAATAAAATGAAAGAAAGAAAAAATCATGCAAACAATGAGCTCATTTTTGAAGAAATGTTGACCGATTGAGAGACTTAACAAATGAATTTTCCATTCTGTCAAAACGATTTTGTGTTAAAGAGAAAAAAAATATTATGATTTTGACGATGAAGGACTTCAAGCACTTAAATTAGGGTTTTTTTGTCGTTTTTTTTCGACTTCTTCTTCTTCTTCTTCTTCTACAAACGATTCAGTAAACGTGGCGCAAGGCACATATGCTTTTTTTGTCACTATTTTATGGTCTAGCATTTTTTTCCCTTATCACTTGAGAAATGTAAATTTTATGACTTGGCTTCCATCGCTATTTGAATATTCATAAAGTGATAAGTTCTTCTTTTTTCGTTCAAGTTGTTGAAAGTAAAAATCCATGAGATTCATGAGCTATTCATGGACATGAGTGGTCGTTTGCACAAATAATCATCATCATCGTTTGCCAAAATGGAAATTCCCCGACTGTATTGCATCGTTTGTTATAGCTAAATTGTTTGCAGATGTCATTTATCGATAGTGTCCCATTGATGAGCAACAATCGTACAGAAAAGCAATTGAAATTGTGGTCATTCACACTAACCAACTCTTAATGCTCGAATCCAGTCGATACGCTCTTTCTCATTGGCAACTGTTAAATACAAAGTATATTGCGGTATCGATCGACCAGGTAATTGATCATCAACTTCACAGTAGCCTATTTGAAAGGAGAATCCCTGAAAGAAAGAAAAAAACAAAAATGTTTAAAGATTTCATTAATGAATTACAATTCGAAGAAAACAAAAGTGAATAAGAAATATGACGCAGAAAAGCATGTAATATATCGAAAGCGTCTGAATACTAGATGGTTCCGTTTTCAATAGCCGCGGGAACTTTTCTATCTCACTCTATTTTTGCAGCTCTCAATCTCTCACTATCTCTATCTCTCGATATCTATCATATACTCAAGTGAAAATGAGTTGAATCGGTCTCATTACCTTTGTTCAAAATGTACACAATTTATCAAATGTTTATCATAATATTGCTGATGAGCACGCGATTCTTATAAAGCAATGTTCAAATAGCAATTGTGCAAAATATTCAATTACTTTCAATTTTTTCTATTTCGTTGGTTTCGTTTCATGACCGTCATTTTGGCGAATGTTCAATTAAAGAAAAAAATACTCTCAAATAAATCTAAAGAATTTTTGAACAATGAAAGTCTGCTTTATTTTTTTTTTGTTCAAGAAATGAGCATACGCAAGCTGTTCGCACAGGCAGATGATGGAAAGGAAAATAAAAGTTGCTCAAGATTTAATCGTAAAATTGAATGGCATTCATGAATGACCGTTTGATGTGTATACACCTTATGTTTGAAAAATGATATTCTTCAGGGTATACACCTAATGGTAATTGATTTTCGATCAGCAGGCCTAATTTATTGAGAGAGCAGCGGTTGGGCAAACACAACCCTTCGGTACATGGAACGGAAAAGGGATGACGACGCACACTTTTGATAGATATATTTCAATCGTTTAAAATTTCGTTTTCATCATCAATATTTTGAATACTTACATCTGGCGCTACACTATCACCATCAAGATTCAGAGCAGCTGGTTCAACCAATCGTATGCCTTTTATTGAAATACGGCCGCGTTCGCGTCGTTTCTGGAATAGAGAGATCAAATAAATCAAAATATTTCGTTAGTTAAAGTGTTCGTATTATATTCATTCACGAATTGTGTCAAAATGGTGTTCGGGTGGAAACGGCAGCTATCTGCCCCATTATGTTATACTGCATTGCATACATAAAATGTCAAATACATTTTTCCATTAAAATATCACTTTTATTTGAGCATTGCGGGAGATTTCTGCCTTTTTTCTGTGTCTTATCTCTCATTTTCTGCATATATTTAGTTTTCTTTGTGTTGTTTGGAAAATTGCTCTGCATTTTTTTTCTCGTTTCATTCGTCGTAAGCAACACAACTGAATTGGATTGAAACGAAGAGAACGACGAACAGTAATAAAAGTGAAGAATGCATAGTTTATATCGTGCTGTTTGTAGCTGTAGCGCTCTATCTTACTCGTGCTCCTACACGTCGACTAGAAAACGGTAGCTTTGCGCACATCTGTACATTTGTGCTGTGCGTGCATATAAATGTGCAATCTTCAGAGTCGAGTCGAAATGTACGCTCGGTACACATTCTTCTCTTTTTTCCCATTTTGTCACTATGTTTATGATTTTCAAAAGCGTGCTTGCCGGTCAAACGTCGAAATCGAGAGAACCATTTTTTTCTCTTGAAACTAAGAGAGCGAGTCTCTTTTTTTTGCACAGTATTGTAGCACACTCTATAAAACCCATAACAAGGTAATTAAGAGTCTACAAAATCACGTTGGTCTCACTGTCAATGCATTTTTGTATTTCGAGTTGTTGCTTGTGCTCCGTTGGTTCTCTCTCTCTCTCTCTCTCTCTCTCTCTCTCTCTCTCTCTCTCTTTCTTTCCACTTTGAGTGCTGTATTGTATGATTTTTCCATGAAGGACCGTTTATGACAGTAATTAAATCAGAAAGAGAGAGAAAGAGAAAGAGGAACAAAAACTGTGTTATGTTTTGTCAAGTAGAACAAAAGTTTTTGAATGCAAACGCTCGTGCGGATATTTCAGTTCTATTGCTGACATTCATATTCTGTAGAAGGCACAAAATAGACGAAATCTCACCATGTCGCAAAAGGCAATCTATTCAAAATGGTTGAAATAGTAGACAAACATGATTCATTCTTGAGTCATGGGTGATGTAATTGAAAAAAAAAAAAACAAGAAATCAGTATTTTTCCGTTCGTTATTTTAGCATAACCTAATCACACACATTTTGAAGCGTGTACGAATTACGCGTGTTTGAAAAACGGTTCATACAGCGGCTTGGAAACAAGTTGACGTGAATGAGTGTCCCAAACATTGAACACTTGCATGGATAATGAATATACGGTGTATATACGATACGTTTGAAAAGGGCTCACACCCTATGTACAAGCACATAGCTCTCAATAACAAAGTGCGTGTTTTTAACACTCTTCACGCGCTGCACAAATGAATTCTATGCACTTTTTTCTCTCTCAGTGTGTGTGTGTGTGTTTGTGTGAGCCTCGAAAAACTATAATGGTTTCGATTAGGTAAATATTTGATGAACGCAGCAAAGAAGCCCCTCTAACAAAATCTGATGCAAAACATTTCAAACGCTGTACAACCTTTATTTCTTCGTTTGAATACGTCATATTTTGTGCTCTTGTTGGATTCCTTTTTTTGTTTTCTGAAGCAAAGCAACTTCGCCCACGGTTTTGAACCGAAACACACTCAGTTCGCTGGTTAGCAATTTTAATTTCATTTTTATACGTTTATTCGAGCATAAAACAAGTGTTATTGAACCTTTATTTTCTTGGTATTATTCCATTTCGATTCGATACGAATGGTTTGCACATTGTCGCCATTTATCGGTGAGAAATTCGAGAAGCTCGGCGAAAAAGTAATCATCTTGTATTGCCATTTTTATATAGTATATGTTCTTTAAAAAGGGAATATGAAACAAAAGTCCGAACTAACAAGACCAAACAATCGCCACACACACACACGGGAAGAAATATGTCATAAAAACAGCGACGCGTCCATTCCACCGGGTCACACAGCACAAATTATTTTATAACGATGTTTTGGCTCGAGTGTTAAACGAAAAGACACACTCAGCGAATGAACAACAACAAACGCGAACTATCGATGAGAAATGGCAATTAATGCGAAGGCGTGTGATCTTGAGAGTTTTGAAGAAGAAAAAATGAAGTAAATGTTAAATGTTGGTTTTATTCAAATGCTGGCATAGTAACTGACTGCAACATACATAATTATGCCATCAAATGTTGACTTCCAAATTAAATCACTCTTCCATTAACACAAATCTTCTTAAAATTGGATTACATGAAAGATAGTCCAATAAAAAATGAAATTCAATTTATTTACATATGATTTTGGGCTAATTCGAAGAACTTTCACCACTTCCACCAAATACGATCTATTTTTACTGTCTTTCTTTTTTGTTGTTTTTTTTTTTATTTTGTGTAAAAATACTATCGATTTGAATTTGGCAATGGAAATTTCACTTTATTTTATTGCCATTTAATAGGATACAATAACTTCACCGAACAAATATCATAAAAATCGAGAAAAATATTGCGATCTGACAATAAAATACAACACCAAACGTGTTGTACGCTGTACATTGTATAATAATCGTAAGTGGAAAATTGTTTGTATATTTGGGCGAGAGCTTGTTCGAATACAAAGTAAAATTTAAAATTCGTATTTCATCATAGAGTACAGGAGCGACGCACACACAAATACACACACTTCGAATCCGAGTAAAGAGAGTAAAAACGCAGCATGTATAGCAACAAATACGACGAAAACGATATTTGGGGTGGATACCATCCACTCAACTACGTTTGCTGTATACATATAGTTTGAAATTTGATTAAAACGCAAACTGAAAACGAATCCAAAAACCTGGAAAATTCGATGCCAACATTTTGGCAATGATATGTTGGTAATCAATCCGAGCCAATTTCCGATAAATATGAATTTTGCACAATTTTTGTTAAACTTACTAAATCGAAAATTGAAACCGTTTCCGTTCTTCCGTTTTTCTTCTTCCGTACGCTACTCTCGATTCAATTCAATGTTTATCTATTTTGTTCAGAGTCCAATTGGACGCCGATATCTACATCTATGATGTGATATTCTGTCGTTTCGAATAATATTTGATTCGATTAAAATCGAAGATTTTCTTTTATCGCACTATCAATTTCACATTAATATCGGAATATAAACTGCAAAATTTTATGCACTTCGTACACACACTAACTATTACTACTGACTATATGGTTCAGCCAAAAAATTATTACATGAAACCCGAACACAGCGTGAGAGTATCAAATTGGATATATATTCAGCATAGTATAAGAACGTATTTTTTGAACGATGGAAGACAATAATACATGCGTGTGATACGTGTACGGGGTCTATTGTGTTATATGTATGGGTTTTCGGCGATGAAAAATACGCATGCGCGTTTTGAAAATCGGTGGATATGAATAAAATACATATATGAACTGCATAAATTCAATGAGACAGCCAAAGTGCCAGTGGTGACAAAAACAAACAAACATTATACATATATAATATATATATATGGAGCTCTTGAAAGATCTAGCAGCAACAGCAGCAGCAGCATCAGAAGTAGTAGTAGCTGGCAAAAAGCAACAAAGGGCGAACAACGATTACACAACAAGTTCTGTTTTGTTATTGTTGTTGGCCGTTCGTGCTTTAGTTCCACAAAAAGAATGCAATTGTATGCGTATATTGGATGTGCTGTTGCCATCGGGGCAAAATTCTTTGCAATTGAACATATGTGCATTGTTTGTATTGAAACGATGTTGTCGTTGTTGTTGTCGGGCTGATGTGTTTATATGCGCACAACGCGATTTATGTGTGATTACTGTTTGATTCGGTTTGGCCGGTTCACGGTGTGGCAGCCGATGTTTATTTTACGTATTTTCGTTGCTCGTTTCGTCGGAGTATGCGTTTTGTGTTTTTTATGCATGGAATTGAATTCGTATCGACTAGCCAGTCGGATGGTCAAAGGTAAAGGAACTTTTAGTAAAATGCATCCGTCGCAGTGCGATAAACTCTGGTTAAAACACATTCGATTATATGGAGCAATGAACGAGTCATTTTGCCTCTCTACCGCTTTCTGTATTTCCATCTGTCCTTCTCTCACATACAAATTACAATGAACCTTTATTCGCGTTCATCAACGCAAATTAACCGAATTAGACCATATCAACCGGAGAGCATTTTGCAATGTTCGCACAATAACAAATAATAACATTAAATCATACACTCAACAGAAATATAAATTGAAATGAACGAGAACTGTATCAAAACGAACGTAAATTAAACCATTAAATAAATTATGCAATAAAACAGAAAATTCAAATGATAGAATAGATAAAAGAATGAAAAAAAGAGAGAATAAAAGAAATAAAAAAAGTAAATAAACTCACCTCAATATTTTCAGTGTCAAAATAATACAAAAACTGTTTGGTCAATTCGAACCATCGTAATTTGTAGTTGATCGGTGTGAAGCGTTTTTTATTTTGTGAACGCTTTGTCATCCAACCGCTTTTGCAAATGTCATACAAGCGTTCGGACAAATTCAAACTGTTGCTGAGCCGAAGCGTTTCTTTCTTCATCATGTTCAGATTGTTGACGATTTCAATACCAAATATCCAACAGAATATATATCCAATTTGACTAGAGAGACTAGTGCGGCGCCCAAAATCACTCTCTAGAAAGTATACGAAACAATAATGTTATGAACACATTTCAAATTCTCAGAACTTCTCAAGTAATGATTACTTAGTAAGACAATTCGATTAAAATTTAAACAAAGAAATCTAAATCTCTCGTCCGCGCTCAACTCACAACTGAATTAGATTCTTTTGTTTTCGACTAAGAATTGTTTTTCTCTCTCAATCTCAACAAATTCTAGTTTATATAGACTGTTATGATTCTTATATTTATTCTATTTTCTGCAAACACAAAAAAAATCTGGAGTCAATTTACATATGAATTGGAGATTTTTGTATCACGATCACTTATCACACACCAACTGATTAGGCATTCACAATAATTCTGAAGCAATCGTGATGCCCCGTGCGCACAAGATGTGATCAATGGCTGTCTGAATAATTGGATTTTGTGTATGAATTTAAAATCATCAACTTGGAATTTTTGCAATTGATTCTCGCGGACTTTTAAGTTTGTTTTCAATCACAATCAAATTTACGTGCGAATAGATGAACACATAAACAATTTAATTCATGTGCGCGCACCGCTCGGTTCACATTTGCTGAATATCGACGATGTATACATTGGGATAGACGCAACATTATTTAGCTGTAAATTGCAGCTAATTAAAACACACTCTACCGCGTGATAAAATCCAAATAATGCTTATTTTTCTACACGATTTTTGCTTTGTTTTTTTTTTTGTTCTGTTCTGTTTGCATTTCATTCTATCGCCGTACTGCAATTATTACGTTGCATATTATGCATGTAAAAATCTGGCGGCTTATTGTTATTATTGGTCGATTTTGAATATTTCTATTGCTACAAGAAAGCCGCTCACAGCCATGAATACAATTCTATAATTGGGTAAATATGGCTGAAATAGGCGACGGTGGCTTATCAGGCTGAATAAGCTAAATAAATTAGAGTCGAAATAAAATGTGTTTTCGTGATGGGCACGATTTCCTTGTGCACAATTTCGCACGCGTTTTTTTCCACAACGATTCAATGTTTTCATTTCTCTTTTCGTTCTTTGGGCGTTTTTTTGTGTGCTTGTATTTATAAAAAGACTCGAAAAAAAATATATATTACATTATTGTGTATAAGTAGCGTGTTTACTAAAATGCTTGCACTTGGTGATTGTGTGCTTCATGCAATGGCAATTTGAATCTGGGTGCTAATAGAGTCGACAATGATTAATCAATTAATTTTCGTGTTTTTTTAACTCTCTTTCGTAATTCTCAAGTCTTTGTCAGTGTCTATTCGTTCGATTATCCCGGTCGGTGAATGATAAAGTCATTTTTGGTGTTTTATAATGAGCGCACCAAAGTAGTTTTTTTTTGTGTATTATTGTGGAGGCTTATGTTCTTTGCACAAATTTACTTAATTACGTCTGACCGACTCAATCAATCGCATGCAATGGTCTTTTTTTAGGGGTTATTACTTTTGTAAACCTCTTACGTCGATCATTATTGTTCAAGGAACTAGACGCATTATGTAGATCGCTTTTCGGTATTGTTTCTTCTATTCTTATTTTTTTTTGCACCAACTTGACCTTACTTAAACGATATGACTGGTGATAATAACAGCACAATTTATTATGCATGTTTGTACGATGGGAATGTCATTGAGAATACAACATATATATGATGAATGCTGTGTTTTATGGCCGAAAAAAAAATACTTTTTTGTCAACACAATAGAAGAAAATTCTTAATTGTTTATGTGCGACCATACGTACAATCGACAAATACCTCAAATTTTTTTCTATTGTTTTTGAAAATAAATATTTCTATCGCTTCATTGCACCGCTTTTTTCTCTCTCACTACATCGTGCAATGCATTTCTTATGGGAAGCGATGACAGCGCTGAATGAGAAAATTATCATTAACTTTTGTATGAATGCCATGGAATTTCACATGCATAACTCGTTCCTGTTGTCAACATGCGTTTTATTTTATTATTGCGAAAATTTAAAAAGATAAACATTCCGAATTGAGATAAGTTGGCGAAATTTTTTGTTTTGAGTTGACGCACATGTTTTGCTTGGTGTTTCAAAAAATTGATTTTAAAAAAGTGCGACTGTTTTGAAAAGAGCACTCATTCATTTTTTAAGAATTTAATTTTAGATTGCATATTGTGTCATATTGAATGTCAAATATCAAAATGTGCCGCACATGTTCCGAAATTCATTTCGGAATATTTTCTTCATACCAAAACATATGGCAGTTTATTGTTTATTAAATAATATCCCTGTCTTTTTTCGGCCAACTTATGGTTTTTTCCCAGCTACCATTGACATGTTTGAAATGGTGTGTTGTTTTTAATTTGAAAATATTTGTTTTTCATTTATTTTCGGTAAATTAAATTCTTTCATAATTAAGAAGTTGGCCCTTTCATTGCAATGAAAATTAATTTCAGTGATGAATATAAAAACGCCAAATTTGATTCCTCGTGATTAGAACATTTGAAAACCTCTAAACAGTACTAGGGGCTCGGAACTCGCAAAAACATCAGCAATAAATACGGTTATGTTCATTTTTGTATAAATTGATAGCATAATAATGAATACTGCCGAATATTCCCATTTTACATCATTATTCGTGGTTATAAAAATTATACTTTACTGCATTATCATCATTAATGACGTTTATATTGACACGGAATTCTGGAGAGATTTCGATTAGGATTTTATTGTCTAGTGTATTTAGAAGCGAATATTTGCAGCGATGGTAAAATTAATTCGAAATAAAACTATTTATTTTTATATTTATTCGAGAATTTTTTCCAGGAACAAGATATTTTTCGTCAGATTCAATTTAATTTAGGCACCGATCTTCCTAAATGTGTAGTGGATATTTTGAAAGCATTGGAATTTACAAACGTCGTTGCTCTAAAAGAAATAAATTCGGAAACAGTGAAACAAATCGAGGAATTTTGCAATGAGAACCCAGAAGTTTTGGGCCATTCACTTATTGGAACAGTTTATGAAAAAGTGAAGCCATTCAAATTTTTACTCGGCCACCGTTTAGTAATATTACAATTGCCAAATTATTGTAAGAGCATTGAAAACAATAGGTCGAACGATGATTTGTTGACGGACTCGACCATAATGCGAGCGTTAAAGGAAAATGCCCGAATTAATTTGAACCGACCAGAATCTGGCAAAAGATACAATACAACAAGCAAAACATACGCTATATATCTCTATTTAATGGGAGGCAAAGCACTGTATGAATCTATTTGTGCAAATTTACCATTACCGAAAGCGGACACAGTCTGTAAGTTTTTTTTACTAAATTCAGCTATCAGTGTCAACAATTTGTTTAAAATCGTATTTTTTTTAGTGAAATATGTCGAGAAAAATAAACAAAAAATATGTGAAGGTGAATTGCGTTGCACCGGTCTAGTTGAATACTTGGAAAATTTCAATTTGAAAAAAGTTGTCTGGGTGTCAGAAGACGGAACTGGTATAAACACCAAAATTGAGTACGATAATTCAACTAATCAAATCGTTGGATTAGTTCTCCCAATAAATGGAACCAATGGAATGCCTGTATCATATACATTTTTGGCCAATTCAGTGGATGATATTCAAAAATACATTAAAAAACCAGTGTCAACATTATTGTATGCCGTTCTGGCTCAACCATTGCAACCAAACATTCCTCCATATGTGCTTCAAATTTTTGGCACGGATAATACATTTGAAGCAAAAGATGTTGTTCGCCGATGGGCGCATATCACCGAAGAGCTGCGCAAGTAAGTCAACAATGACAGATGTAAATTATATTAAAGCTAATCATACGAACCTCATTTGTATGTTTTCTTAGACATGGAATAGAAGTGGCTGGATTTTCATCAGATGGAGACACCAAATTATTCAGTGCAATGTTACATTACTCAAATCCATGTTTAAAAAATGTTTGCGATCATTTTACACAAGTCAATGACCCATTGCGTCACACAATTGCATACATGCAAGACACAATTCACACTGTTTTAAAAATGCGAAATCGATTTCTATCGCCCGGAATCATTCTACCAATGGGTACCAAAGTGGTATCTGTATCTCATTTAAAAATGTTGATCAATAAAGTTGGAAAGGGCGTACATGGCTTAGTCATGAAAGATATATGTGGTGATGATCGTCAAAATTATAATGCGCTCAAGCAAATAATGAAACCTGAAGTAACGGAAGCATTAGCAGAACATATAATCGATAGCGAAGCAACTATAATGTACATTAAAATTTGTCATGAAATCTCATCTGCCTTGTATGAAGAAGGACATCTACCTCTACAACGAGTTTATCTCATATGGCATGCAACATTTTTCCTCCGTGCATGGAAAAAATGGATACAAAATTCGAGAAGTTCAATTGCTAAAAAAGGTGAATATTACACTGTTGGAGACAATTTTCTCACCCGAAATTGTTATGGCTGTATTGAAATCAATGCAAATAATCTAATCTCTTTAATGCAAACATTCCGTGATCGAAATATGGATGAATTGTTCTTAGTAACTTTGTTTAATTCGCAACCATGCGAGGAATTTTTCCGGCAGCTTCGTTCTATGGGAACAATAAATTTTACGAAAGTCAACTTCACACTCTTAGAAGTGTTACATCTTATCTCACGTGTTGAGCTCTTGAATGAATGTATTTACATCAAGTTGAAGGATATGGGCGTTTCGTTTCCACGCAACAAAATAAGCAACTCTGGCTTGAATAAATTCCCACTTCCTTCGGATGTAGAAATAAAAACTTCAATTGACAATGCTCAACGTGATGCATTATTGGATGCAGCACGATTCGGAATGAAAATTGATCCATGCGATGTGCAAACGTGTAATTTAGATGATATTGACGTGTTCTTAAAAAAACCAAAGCGAAAACATAATGAAACTGATGGAGACGATGAAGATCAGACTTTCAAAATGCTTTCTGAATGTCCAAATATACGCAGCTACTCACCAGAAAAATATCAATCAAAAGCACCATTCATTGAAATTACCACGGATAAAGGAACAAAGAAAACAATAAGAAAGTCAACACTTGTATGGATGCTTTCTGAAGCGAAAGGTAAATTGAGTAAAGATCGTTTACAAAGAGTTCAAGATGTTGACAACCCAAAAAAAGTTCGCCGAAGTCTAAAATTCGATCCAGAACTTTCAGTTGAGAAGACTTTAAAGAAGAAAAAGGAGCTACAAGTGGGTGATTGGTGTATTTTTCATGAGCAGGAAAATAATAATCATCAGAAAAACATTTATGTAGGAAATGTTTTATCATTTAAATATATTGAAGGAAAAACTGCCAAACAAAAACAATATACATGGGATTTCGCACCCGTTTCACCACCTGAAGGTGAAAATGATACGAAGAAAGGTATTCAAGTGTTGGCTTCGTGGTATAAAATGACCGCAAGTACCAAACTGGAACCAATAGCTGTTGTCAACAATTTTTACCTAAACATTGAAAATTACATTGCAACTCTTTCGCGTCAACCATTCCAATCTACAGATTTGAAAATTATCGATGAAGAATTTTTCGCAGTCATTAAAGCCGAGTTACTAAAACTATGTGAAATCTCTCAATGAAAATTATTTTTCTGAAAAACATCATTAAATAAGTAACGCATTTTATTTATTAAATATTCCACATTTAGAAATTAAATATTAAAATCTTTGCTAAGACATAAAATATATTCTGTGAGAATAAATACTTTTTTCTTTCATTTTTTCTCAGAAAAAATTGTTCTTTTTTTGCTTTTTTACTAATTATATAAAAGGATAATAAATTCGTATTGATGATTGAGTTCACTTGTAGATTGTACACAGCGCTAAGATTGTACTTTTTCATTTGCTTCCATGATCTGTGCTCATTACATTTGGTCCCGTTTTGAACGGCAAACTTCATCCTTGTATGCTTGTATTGCATTGAGACGATCAACGTCACCTTCACATCTTATTTTCATCAAATCTGAAATTAATTTCAATTTAATAACATTTAAGAATAATAAGATCACAAATCAAAAAGAATGACAATATTGCCGGTAAATTTTAATTAAATTAGAAACATTTGTTATAATACTTACGTTGTATAAAGTCTGTGACTTCATCAGATACCAGGAACTTGGCCAAATCATCGCCATCGACCAACGCATATAAAAGTGCAATAACCAATCGACGATCGTACGCTGTATCGCTTTTGAATGGTGCATGGCTCCAATCAAAAAACTTGTTCACAATGGCATTCGGGATTTCTCGTAGTTTGCCATCAATTTTATAAACGCGAGCAGTTTTCTATTATTAAATAATAGAATTTAATTATTTTTTTGCAAAAAAAGTAAACACATACATTTAGCGCGCTTATTTTTACTTACCTTGACATTAAATGGTAGATTTCCAGACATCAAATCGTTTTCTCGTTTGATTAAATTATCATTTACCGAAGGGAGTGGCATTGCGAAGCCTTTTGACGCCTTAAATGTCATTGTCATTTCGACTGTATTTGAATCTTCGTCAAAAACATCTTCGACCACATCACCTTCGTCATCCAGAATGTCCACAATATCATCAACGTTTCCGGCAGGAACATTTAGCGTGTTTTCAATATCTGGCTTTTGATCAATTAGCGAAACATCAGAACCATCAATGATTGAATTGTTGCGATCCTGAACTGTCTCTTCAACGAACACCTGTTCAACAGTATATTGCGCTTGATCTTCATTAGTTTCACCGTTCGCACCATTTTCCAAATTGTCATTTTCCAAAACATTGCCATCTATACTGTTGACTGTAGTCTCACCATTTCCTTCTTCACTTGCTCCATCGTAGAACAAATTTTCACCAGGCAAAACTGGATCATTTTCGATTTGTGTGCGATCATTTGTTTCAGAAAAACTTTGACCGGCGTCGTTCTCATCGATATCACTTCCAACGGTATCATTTTCGTTGGCATTCGATTCACGTGTTTCATCATTTTCATTTTGAGAACGGTCATTGTTATTTTCTGAAACATCAACTGTGTCGTCGGTTTCAACGAATTCACTGGCTTCATCGGCCAACAATTGAGCGGGCAATTTTGGTATTGGTTGTTCAAGCAATCGATTGCTATTGTAATTCATTGGTGCTTGATTTCGACGGCGCTGAAGTACATCAACTGCTTGTTTGTATGTTTCTGTGAGGAAACGAAATATTGTTTAATAATTTCACAAATAATAATCATTTTATTACACCGATATACACTTACCTTCGACGCTCAAAAATTTTCCAACGAAACATTCATCGCCATTTGCTGATTTACGCGTTAACTGAAAATTCGGCTTATACGAATCTTTCGGAACATTCAAGCCGTTCACCATTTCGAATGCATCTTCGTTTGTAGTGTAAAAACACCAAAATTGCTGTCCCTTGTTGATACTATTTTTTAGGAACTTACAAAAATGCTTGTCGATTTCGTTGATCCAAGTACGTGGAAGAATGCGATATTCACCGCTTCGCAAGTCAAAAACAACAAAAAACATGTTTGCTTCACTTTTTCAATCACTTTGTATTATTTCTTTGAATTACTGTTTATTATTTCTTAGAAAATTGAGTGTAAATAACTAAACGTGTATGCTGAAGTGTAGGATTATTTGTGCGATAGATTCACAGTATTCATAAACGATAAACGTCAAAGCGTAAACTGGCGGGAACTGTACTACGCGCCTAAAATATTACTTATGTCGTTGCGTTGTTGTGTGTTTAAAAAAACAATTTGACTGTCGTCGGCAACTTCGACTTCTTCGATTGTATACGGCAGTATCGTTTCACTGTTGCTTGCTTTCTTAAAATGACTTTTTATGTGTGTCTGCAAATTAGAGACAGTCCAATTCGTTGTAAATTGACAAGGGACTTTGCGATTACACTCTGATACCGGGCATTTATATTTGCATTTGTACACTGTTCCTTCGTTTTCAATTTCTGATATGTCATCAATAGCAAAAACACATGTAAATCCGTTTTTCTCCGCAAATTTCTGCAATTTCGTTATCAATTTGAGATTCAAATTTGTTTCGTCGAAATTGCTTGCTGGTTTACTTCTTTTAATTTTTTTGAACCACTTTGGCAAAGATAAAATTAATGTTTTATCTCCCGGTAATAGTTTGAACTGTTTGGCCTTCTCGTATCTTGTGTTTTTCAAAATCAACTCAAAATGTTGTCGGTCGGAGTTAACAAAATCCTCAATTAATTTCACTGCTGCTTCATCTATCTGAGTTAAACTTGACTTACTGTCGAAAGCACATTCCTTTAAAATACCTATTATTTCTTTTGGCAGTTTCACACCAAATTTTTTTTTCAAAAAAATAAAAATATCGCTACTTGTTTGTGTCTCTTCACGCGCGTTCTGTACAATTTCCATGGCTGGTGTGAAGCAACTGACACATGACACAACGACAGTTTATTCGGCTAGTCGGTATTGCGGTATGAAGCATTCACAATGGTGAGAACCAGTAATAATCATGATATTCACAAATAGTCACCATTAATTGAACTTATTGTAAACTATGTAAATGTATGGTTATTGATGAATGCGACAAATATGGTGAATATTACATACATTGGGACAATTATGACAAATAAAGCGTAAATATGAATATTTAAAATGCAATAAAAAATACTTCCGAGCCCCTAGAAACAGTAGCTTCCTTTCCTTTTTAAGTGAAATAGTGCTTTTTTCTTCAAAATGGGTGTGAATTTACAATATTTTTTGTTATTACTCTTTATTAGTAAGTGGATCATGTTTGTGGTTCTTATTGGTTTCCATCTACCATGTTGGATAACATTCTTTCAATTTAATTGTTTCAGCTTTTCTTAGCTTGAATCAGTTCAGTGAAGCATCAACTATGATTTGTGGAAGACGAACTTCTTATCCAAGATCGAGAAATAAGCCGTTGGATACCAAGAATAAGATATTTTTGTATAAATTATTCGAAAATCAAAAAGATTATAATGACGAGGCGGCAAAGAAATCCTTTGAATATTATTTCTGGGAGAAAGTGAATATGAGCGAATGCTGTGTTTGCTGCACAGATCTGGCAAATCCATCACAGACTGAGTATTGCGTTGAAATTCGCAAAACATCGCCGTTTAAGGGAATGTTTGGCAAAAAAGCCGAGTATGCTTTCATTAAGCAACCGCAATTTGACAATAAAATAAAAAGTCTTACGGGAGTAAGACGAACTTTTCCGCACTGTGGTAGTTGCGTATTTTATTAAGAAAGTTCAAAATAATATTTGCTCGATTCTTCAAGTCTTTCAAGCGGCGTAAAGTTCGAGACCAAAAAATATGTTTCAACTTTGGCAACGAAATATTTTTTAATTTAATAGCAGAAGTACCCGAGAAAAGATTTTTCACACTTTCATGATGAACCCATTTGTACGACATTTGAAAGTATTCTATTTTCTAACAAAATACTATAAAAAATATGTCTGACGTTAATTTTGCCATAAAAATTATTTTTGAAACACTTTCCATAACTAAAGTCACAAAAAATTTGGATCTTTGTATGGGAGCCATGTCTGTATGCTATATTAATGGTGTGAAACTTTGCACAGGTTATTTTTTCACAAAAAAATAACATTCGTAGGGTTTGGAGAAATTTCAACCAAAATTAAGGGTACCTCCCATACAAAATATTCGTTTTTGAGCCAAAAATTTAAAATTTTGTATGGAAGGTACCCCTAACTTTGATCGAAATCTCTTCAAACTTTCAGAATGTTATTATTTTGTGTAAAAAATAGTCTGTGCAAAGTTTCACGTCATTAAAGTATCATACAGGCATGGCTCCCATACAAAAATTCAATTTTTTTGTGACTTTTACAAGGAAACTGTATTAAAAAATATGTCTGACGTTAATTTTGCCATAGAAATTATTTTTGAAACACTTTTCATAACTCACAAAAAAATAACATTCGGAAGGTTTGGAGAAATTTTAACCAAAATTAAGAGTACCTCCCATGCAAAATATTCGTTTTTGAGCCAAAAATTGAAAATTTTATATGGGAGGTACCCCTAATTTTGATTGAAATCTCTTCAAACTTTCAGAATGTTATTTTTTTGTGTAAAAAATAGACTGTGCAAAGTTTCACGTCATTAAGGTAGCATACAGGCATGGCTCCCATACAAAAATTCATTTTTTTTGTGATTTTTTCAAGGAAACTGTTTTAAAAATTGATTGTATCTCAAAACTTACGTCGGATTCGGTTTTCTCGTGCCAAAAAACCCCCCAATACATATTTTTGAATGTTTAAGTCCACATTAAGTATGACTTTTGGACGAAAATTGGACTCTTTTTCATAGGTATCACTCCAGGCATGACATTTTTTCCCATCAACCAAAGTCGCTCAAAAGCTAATGATTTCTATTCCTCGGGACCCCCAATCATCCTGTAAAGTCAGATTTTGAATAAAGTTTCTACGATGAGCGCAATCTTGCTAACAAATTTTGCGTACGACGTACAACGTACGACGTACGACGTACGACGTACAGATTAACATAAACCATGCTCAAAACGGCCTGATTCGGGTTCGCTGACATCGGAAACGTCCAGAAAACATGTTTCTGAAGTTTTCAAAATTTTGACCGATTACAATACTTTTCACCTTACACTATGTGTGCGGAAAAGTAAAATATACTCAAATCAATAAAAAGCCCGATATATCGAGAGCTTGCTGTCCAAAAAGCAGAGATGGATACCTTACCAAAGCTTAAATTGCGATAATAATTTTTAAAAAAATACTAAGCACATTCACCGTAGAAAGTTTTTTCAACAAAATCCTTATCGAATACTTTTCAAATTAAATGCCAAAATATATTTAAATCACTCTTCAAAAACAGTATACATTTTCAGAATAAACAAATCGAACCAGACATGTGTTTTATACATGTGTTTTATATACTATTTTTTTTTCTTGATAACATGACTTGATATTGTTTTTTTTTGCTTTGCAATGAAGTTTGGCATTTTTCTTGACTTTTTTTACAAAAACCTACTTTTTACATTAACTTTCAATTACTATTATTTCAAATTGACATTTTTTAGTTTATTCTCCCGACACTTGTATTCTCACTAGAACAGAATGTGTATAGATTTGCAATAGAATTGCAAAAGTGAGTGACTCAATGATATTTCTTATTTTTGCAAAATATGTGACACTTTTCATTGGTTCAATACGACGACTGTTCCAATAACATTGACAGAAAGTGCGAAAGACAAAATGTATCGCTAAATGTATTGAACAAAAATGTTTGCTTTTTTATACTTCTACACATATATTGATAACTTTCGCACAAAAAAGCAGAAATGACTTATTAATCAAACGAAATACATTGTGTTTATATAAAAGTATACGTGGTATAGAACTGTTTTTTGAATGTAAATAAATTACGTTCACATTTTAATATTTTGAATACTTTTGAATTGATATCTGGCTGTGAAACACTTCGAACGACCACGTCGTGTTTGAAGCAAGTTTCAATTCAATAATTTTGAGTTCATATAAAAACATCAAAAAACTGGTGTTTTCTTCTATTTCTAAAATGGTACCAGATATACGCCTATTTTCATTATTAATTTTTATGAGTAAGTTTTTGTGCAAATTTCGCTAAAAATATTCTTGATAGAATTTCAAATAAAACTAATTCTTTTTTAGCCTATTTGTGCTTTGGCGAAACATTTGACTTGATTTGTGGAAGACGTACTTCATATACACAGAAAAAAGGGAAACCATTAAATACAAAGAAAAAACTAATGTTATATAAGATTTTCAAGTCACGTAAAGAGTATGAAGAGGAAAAGGCAATCGATGCATATGGTTATTATTTCTGGGAAATTCTGAATTTTAGCGAATGCTGTGTATGCTGCATAGAAATGGCAAATTCATCAAAAACTGAATATTGTGTTCGATTGCGTAGCAAATCTATATTTGGCATATTCAAAAAGACTAAATATGATCACATTGAAAATAATAAATTCGATAGAAAAAGTCATGCAAAAATCGATAAAAAACGCGGAATTTCAAGCGATTGCTGTCCCTATCGCAATGGATATACGGTGCAAACATGAAAGTGTTCTTAGTTTGATTAAAAAGTCTTTAAAGAATGACCAAATTATACCCATTAAATTCTCTGTTGGCACATTAGGCAATGGAATTAGTTGGGTCGTTCTTTTTACAAACATGTAATAAACAACACAATTTGTAATTCATGTATTTTAAAAAATGTTCCCATGTTATTTCATTTTATGTATGTTTCTTGGGTTGCTTAAAGCTTTTCTTTAGAAATTGACGACTGAATAGGAAGAAAAACACACTAAAAATTATAAATTTCAATTTTGAAAGACTGTCGTGGAATTTTACATAATAACTCTTTCCTGTTGTCAACAGCGACAATTGTGCGTTTCATTTTATTGTTTTACAAAAGGGGAAACTGAAAATTCCGCGTCAACAAAAACTCAAGACAATTTATTACAAAAAAAAAAAACGTGAAACTTGTAGAAAATTAAAAAGAATGCCTTGTAATTAATAAAGACGTGGGAGTTCGATTAGAAATGTTATATTTCAAGACTGCATCCGTTCATGTTGCTTCCATTCTCAATGCCGCCAATCACGGATACACTCAGTGTTTCTTTTCTTAATCGCAAATCGAATGTATCGAAATATTGTTTAAATTAATTGGAAAAAAACTTGTAAAATATAATTGAGTCGATAAATTGAGAAAAAAACAACACATTTCAATTCTGAAATCACGTATTGGTCATTTCGATTGTGCCAATATAACAATTGTTTACTAACTAAAGGTTCTCAGCGATTATTTTCCATAAATATATGAATATTTCCTAGCACAATTCCACACTAGGCTTTGTGTATTGTAATTTGCTTTCTTTTATCATCGTATTCGATCATATATAGTTTTTTAAATGTTAAAAACCATTAATTTGCATAAAATTAAATGTCTATTTATTAAAATGCATATATATTCAATATATGTATGGTCTTTGCGAAAAGTATATGTACGCAAAACACAAACGTGAACAACAAACCCATTGAAAGCCGGATGAAAGAAAACATTTAATTTTTTTTTTCAATTTGAATAGATTAATGTAACATAACCATGAGAACCGAAAAGCAAAATCGTCAACGCATTGAAAAATAAAAGTGATGGAAATGCAAAACAGACTCACATTCACTCGTGCACATGCATAACAACACATATGAAATAAAGAATCATCAAAAAATCTAAATATTTACAAAAATACATGAATGTTTTGACTGTGTTGTTTTAATTGAAATCTGATACAAATGCGACGTTTGCTCATGTTATCTCAATGTTTTAATCGCTGTTTCGAGAAAATTGTATGTTTTTTCTTGCGTATGTTGTCATTTGTAAATGCATTTAAGCAAATCCAAAGCAAGATCGATTTACTTTTGGTAGATGACTTAATTACGGTCGAAGCAAAAAAGAACATTACAATAAACGAAATTATCGCATTGTCACTGCTACAGGTCTTCTATGGCATTTCCGAGTGTAAGACTTCAAACGAACTTGGATTTGTGATTTTTAATAATTTGGGCATGCCGTAAAGGTCAATCGAATACAGGCTCGACTACTTATAAATATATGTGTAAATATACCCCACGATTATAATCCGAAGTAGGTAGGTGTTTTGCGATATTTGTGTGACGTCGACACACACCAAAATCCGATCACCTTTTACACCGTGATTTTCTCGCTCGTTCTTTCTCTCCCGCTCTCTCTCTCTCTCTCGTTCTCGTTCCAATCGATTATTATAGTCCGTGTTCTCCGGTTTTCACATTTAATTAGAAACTATTTTCAACTTTCAATCTCTGTGCGTAAACACCATATAACTTGTTTTATATCCGAGAGAGATTTCATTTCATTTTCACTGAGTCTTATGTGTTTCAAGCGATTAATACGTTGTCCGTATATGGCATTGAATAAAATTCCGATCTTTCTGTGAGTGTTTTTTTTCGCTTTTAGTTTTATTTTTCTGTAACGTGACAACACTGTGATTAACAGTGAAATGCACTTTTTCTTAGCTGTAATCACTCTGGTTTCGTTTTTGAAATCAATGATTTACTTTTCTCAACACAATTGGCACATGTCACCGAATAAAATTTCAAATCATATTCAACCGATAAATGTTTTTTGATTCAGAAAACAAACCCGGAACTATGTGTTTAACTAGGAACACTAACAATTCACCCGTTTGCACTCTCGAATCGCTAACAATTCTGACAAACTATGCACGAAAAAAAGATACACTGCAGCGCAAAAAAAAACGTTGAAATAATTTAAATCAATATCCAAACATGATTTCAATTGGCAAACGTTGATATACACACACTCAACATCAGCTAAACTGAATCGTCTTCAACTAAGTCTCACGATCGAAAGAGAGCGCACAAACAATAAACAAACCGACACCGAAATACTTTTATTTTTTTTCTCTTGCTTTTCAATCTTTCTATCTCGTCTCTTCCTATTTGTACATTCGAATTATTTGCCGAATTCGTTGATGCTCTCTCAAAGTGGAGTTGTGCTTATACGAACTGTCTCGCTGTCTGCTACGGCCGTTGTCTCATTTGTACACATTTGTGTATGTAGTTAAACAGACCAACTCGAAGTATTCATGTGTGTATGTGTGTGGTGCGGCAAGTTTAAAAACATACGGACACATGCATAAAACAACACACAGCACAAGTGTATAGACAATGGTATGACCAGTTGATCAACATATGCTTAATCGGCGTGAAGTTTGCTCACATCCGAAATTATCGGTGTGGAGATGTGAAATTGACCAGTACAATTGTGAAAGTGGAAAAATTTGATACAACTTTTAACAGCAATTATTCTTCTTTACATTTTCACCTTGAATTTGCTTAGAAATTTAGAAAAATTTGATAAAATTCATGTATTTTAGTGAAATACTTTTACCATATTGAACGAAAAAGTGAAATAACAACAGACATCGATGTAATTGTTCACACACAGATGTCGTTGTTTTCCATTGGTCTCAAAAAACTTATCGGAGCATTTTAAAAATATCTGCCAAAATATACAATACAGAAGCGAAAAGGAGACGTCGCCGTCTACATGCATTCTCGCATACACATAGTTTAGTTCGTAAATGGTGCAATACAATAGATGATCTAACGGGGTTTTATTTTGGTGGGATTTCACTTCGTTGTCACAGTCGTCTTGCAAAGCAACATTTAGAATAATTAAATCATTTCGCAACAATTGTCGAAACAGCTAAAACAGTAAGTACAATTAATAAGTTTATGTGTGTGTGTGTGTTTTTTTTATTTCAATATCCTTATATCGAATTGACAATTGTGTGTTACACCATTTATTACAATGAATTTGTCATCGAATCGACGATGGTTTAGACGTACATATAATCTTCGACGCAATTCGTATCAAACGAAACGTAATAATAATCTGACCGTATCTATTTTTTTTATTTGTGTCATTTGCACTAAGTGGGCTATATTGATGTTGTTTTTCTCTCAACATTTTTAGATTCGATATTCAAATAAAAAAACGAGATGGACTACGGCTGTGATGTATCGAATCGATATACTGGCTACTTGGATAGCAGTGACCACGGTAATCCGATGAGCACCTCAATTCGCAAGAAAAAGGGTAAAGCCAAGAAAAAGCGCAAATCACCGAATAAAAATCCATCGGAAAATTTGCTGGAAAACATCGAAACCACCATTTCGAATCCGCCCACGGAAATTTTTGAAAATCAACAAACATTTTCCAATGACAATAAATGCGATACCAGTTATGAACAGGAAAATGTACTACATGAAACCGATTCAACTTGTCCAAAAAGTTCAACCAGTTGCGGTTCACCGATTCAATCGGACATATCGCGTGAAGAGGTAAAATTGAACGATGAAATTGTGGTGCAGGTGCAGGAACCGACCATTACACCAGATGGTATAAATGTGAATGAGACCAAATGGAGTGAGATTTGCTTTGAAGAAGAGAAAAATCTGATGACATTGGAATCACATTCAAACACCGATGCCGATACGCAACGCACTCTCGATGTATCGGAATGTATACAAGATGTATTCAACGAACATCGTATTTATCCAACGATTTACTTCTACAATTCAAACTTTGGTAATCGTAATCGTCGTTTTATTGAATGGAATGATTCTGGTCGACATTCGAACAACGAATCGGAATTCAATAATCGTAACATAAACTACTACAACAGCGACCATGGAAACAATGGCAACAACAATAACAACAACGGTTTACGCGATGAGGAACGAAAAAAGAAGCGAAAAAATCGCAACGGAAGACACCGAAAGAAAAATACATCAACAGATGGGGATAGTCATGATGTCTCAGGTGAAACACGATCAAATGACGAACAACCGGCTAAGGACTCGCCAAACGATTCTACTGAACAGGCACCAATAGTTCAAGACGCCAACAGCACCCAAAATACCAATGAATCGAATCAGCGTGAATTCAACAATCGCTACAATCGATGGAAACATGGCTTGCCTCCGCGAACATTCAATCGACGCCGATCAGATTTTGTGCGCAACGTTTGAAATTTCTCTAAAAGCACCCAAAGCAGCTTACTACACCCCACACATACACAAAAACCCACACAAAACGCCCTAAATATATGAATATTAAAATGCAAAAGCATCGACCAAACATTTGTTACCAGACTCATCGATATGATATTTAAAAAAAATCATTTAGTCATTACAATTAACATACAATAATATTTTTTACGTTTAAGGAAATAAAATGAATAATATACAATGTGAATAAAATGAAAATTGAGAAGTAAAAAAAAAAGAGAATAAAAAGAAAAAATTCCAAATGTTTTTGTTTATTTTTTTTTATTGTGTTTTTGAGTGTGAGATGATGCAATTTGACAGCCGAATCGAAGTGACGAAATCTAGTACTGCACATTGAATGTAAACAATCGATTTATTATCACACATAGCCTGCCACAACGTTGAACTATCTGTCATTTTGACTGTGGAAGCGAGAACCAAAAAACAGTCAGCTGAACTCAAGCCACTGACGTCAAATACACCAGTTGTCTCTGTCTTGCATAATGTTTGTGCCGCATGCGTACAAACAAAAACTTGTATCCATGTATAAATTGTCATATACACAACTACATTGAAGCCAAGCACGATGCATGAATGAAGACGAGCATTGTTGTAATATATATATATAGGTGATTCCACTTCACAATTTCAATTTGTAGTGCGCTCGATGTGATTACAAAAGTGTACAATCGTCGACAAAGTGAGTTTTGATTTACAACGCGGCAAACATCCTTTTTTCCATAATCCTGTTTCTCTGTGTCATTATCGTTGTAATTTCGGTTATTACGTTTCATTCGAATCGTTCAATTTAAATTGAAAATAAAAAAAACACTAGTTCTTTACATTTAAATCATCAACGGTTAAAATTTCCAATTGAAATTTGTTTTGGTGTTGGTTTAATTTATTTTTGTCAAAAGATTGTGTACGATATCTCGGTTGATCTCGAATCATTCATTTGCAAAGTCAGAAGTTTATATGAAATTGCTCAAGGTAAATTTACCGTAATTTATTTTTGTTGTTTCATATCAACCAACAACAATTTCGAATCATTTTCATGAACAATGCATTTGTTAACGAATGCATCACATTCGTTCGATGTTGTTTCTTTTTCGTTTAAATTAAATAAACATTCTCTTAAAAAAATTCCAAAATCAAATACATTCATTGTGCAGACGGATAATAACGATTTATATGAACGAAAGAAATGAGAAACAGAAGAAAGAAATCAGTTATTATATATATATTAAATGCACACACAACAATCATTTAAATGTATTGAAGAAAACTGTATGTTTTATTGCTATTGTTTATTAAAATAAACTGATAGAAAGAGAGAAAAATCTACCGCACGAATTCGTGTGCGAGCATAATTTATAGTTTCGTCCTGCTTCGACCTCAATAGACATTATTGTAAACTTATTTTTAAAGTATTAACATAAAATCGAATATGCGATTACATGCATTTCACATGTACTAATAGGACGTCAGTCTGTTTCTCTCCATCTTATTCACAAGTCGCACCGTTCTTGTCGTCTTTTTATTCATTTCTTGTTTGTTTAAAAAAAAAAAAGTATTTTTCGTTCGTTTTTTTTTTAATAAAGCAGAAGAGCACATTTTTTTGTGACCAAAGCGACAAAGGTATTTGATGTTCATTTTCTCTGTGTGTATGTGCGAGTGACGAAGTTATGTTTTCAATTGAGTTCTTGGAAATGCTCAGTTTTACTTACAAAGATTTGGTTATTTGTAAATGATATAGTTTTTTTTTGTTTTTCTTGGTCAAAGTGAGTTTTAGTCATGTATTTTTTTATCGAATTCATGATTCGTTTTGTTGTTTTATTTCTGAATAATAGTGAGTTTGCATAAATGATAACGAAAGAACATTACTATTGCGCAAAAAAGTCTATGATTCTTTTTCAGAGCAAAAAAAAAATCAAATTTGCAATAAAAATTAATGACAGCAAGAGAAAAAATGGAAATGAAAAACCCTGAACTTTGAGGCAGCATCGTAACACGAATAACAACAACAACAACAACAACAACAAAAATCAATAATTTTCCATTGAACAAAACATACACACATATACTTTTTTATATCTATATTATCTTGTGCCTGCGTCTGAATCATTTCTATAATATATTTAACAAAAATCTAAATAGTACGTGTTTTTACTAAGCATGCACTGTGCTCATGGCACGGCTTTTGTAGGATATAAAATACCAAGTGAGATACAACACGAAGAAATGGTTGTTGTTGTTGTCGGTTTTTTCTCTCTTTCATGTCCGGTATTGTTTATTAAACTTGTGTATAGTCTACTGTTCTTTACGATTATTATTTTTTTGTGTGTATATCGTTCTATTTTATTCTCGGGCCCTTTTTTTCCATATTCATTGCAATTATATTCTGTTTAGGTTTAAATACAGCGTACAACCATCGGTTCGAGAGCATTCTGTGCGAAGGGAAAATAACGTGCACTTTTAGTAACAACCAGTTCTTTATGTGAATAAATACAATATTTTTCTCCGTTTGAATTAAACGATAAACAAAGATAAATGACTGAGTGAGATTGTGTGAGTGTTTGAGTCATTAAAATAAATTTTAAGTGTTCGATTTTTCAGAACACTCGAACATTTTATAAATTAAATTTTAATGATCTACTGGCATGGTGAACGATTCATTTTAAATGCGAGTTTATCCAAGCAAACATTGCTTCTTCGAAAATTATTTAAAAAAAATACTCTTTTTTCATTTCATACAACTTTATCTTCGCCATATTTCTTTGATTCTTCATTCATCTTTATCGCACTTACATTTTGTTTCACCGACGATATATATTTTATTTTTGGTTACCCCAAATTTTGTGTTAATAATTTGCATTTATGAGCGGCTTTGATTGCACCATTTCAACTGCCTGACGAATAAATGATATTTTATAATGAAGGATAAAGCTGAATTTATATGGGTGGGTTCAGAAACAAATAGATGGGGTACATTTTGTACCTTGTTTGGTATCAACAGCGTATTGATCCTTTATTTTTGTTGTACAGGCGAAAAAGGGGTGGTGAGTAAAACCACATTCAATGTGCAATACACATATATGAAGAATTATTATAAAATATGACAGTCTCGCTCGGTCTCGGTATTACTAATTATAATACAATAAATTTCAGAAATTGTATGTTTGAGATGAATCGTTGCGAAGAAAAAGTAGCTCTTATTTTTCTCCAAATAATACTGCAACATAAAGTTTTTTATGAATAGTTACAATTAATAATTACAACAAATAAACCGTGTGAAAAAAACTTCATGTTGTAATATTATTTGAAGAAAAATAAGAGCTACTTTTTCTTCGCAACGATTCAAATGAGAGAACCCCTTTTTAGTTAGATTTCTATTGCAAATACTTGCTCTTTCAAATGAAATACAAAATTCGACAGAATTATATTCGTCAAGTTATTTTAACATAAAATTAAGCTAAACATTTCAAAAGACCCTTTCATCTTCAATTACTACATACGCAATTTTTGCTCAGCAAATGCATTGAAGTAAAATGTCTGTAAAAATAGTGTTGGTAACTCACTTTTCAGTAAGATCTTCGGATTTTTCAAAATGAATTGAGAATTGTGAGGAAATATTTCTTCATTTTCAATCAATTATATGTATAAATTTAAAGATGCAAACATATGACATGACGAATGGAATACAGAGAGATGTTCAGATAAAGATATACGTGCAACATACACATTCGTTTCTATAACGATCACATGTCTTTTCGGTCCCTTGTCTACCTTCGTTTTTTATATTGTTTTGTCTATTTCAAATTGACATTCACACTGCAGAAGTTTGAGATTAACAACAATTGCGATGTTAATTTCAATTTAATGCTTACGAAAGTCTTCAGCATTTAGATTTCTGGTTTTATTCAGATATTTTCAAAAGATATTGAGAAAAATCAGTTCGTTTAAAAATCTTATTTCACCTTTTGTATTTGTTTTTTCTCCACAGATCAAATCCAAATGAAAAATGGCAGTACAAATATCTTCAGCTTCAATTTTCAATGGCAACAGCCAAAATATGATGCACCCGTCAGCGCCATCACAATCCTATGAACCGTCAACGAAGCGATTTAAATCGGCTGATCTTACGTTTCAATGCATTGTTTGCAGTGATGTTTCGTTTGACGATCCAAACATATTGTACGAACACATGAAAATTAAACACAAAGAGCTGTACGAACATGACGATGGAAGTGCCGGTGAAAATAGTTTCGATAGTGAGACAGAGCATGAACTGAGCGATGAAGAATATCTCGATCTATCGCGATTGCTGGAACCAATTTGCGAGCTTAAACAAGTGGATGATGATAATGATGATGACAACGAGAAGAATGTGCTGCAAAATGCCAATTGTCAATCGTCAAATGTCCAATCGATGCAAAATAGTCCATTTGGAATGCCACTGAATGAAGAGCAACTTCGTCTTCAGCTTCAATTTCAATTGCAGCTACAAAATTACCTCTTACAAATGCAAGCGACAAATACTGAACTCCAACAGCGCAAGAAAAATGGCCATCAAAAACCGAAGGAAAATCGAATTGTTGATAAACCCTTTTCATTACGTAAGAAATGATCTTTCAAATCAAAATCAATCATAATTGAAATCTTTCTTTTTTTTAATTTTCAGCTCAAGGTCCGGGTCGAGGTCGTCGCCGTGAATTGCCAACGACAAATGGAGCCATTGCTGTGCAATCATCCCCAACACCACCATCCGAATCATGTCTATTTCAATGCACCCAATGCGACAGTTCATTCATATTTGCCGGTGATTTGGCTAAACACGTTCGATCGCACACGAATTTGAAACCGTTTCAGTGTAGCATTTGTCAGAAAAGTTTTACGCACATCGGTAGCTTAAATACTCACATTCGCATTCATAGCGGCGAAAAACCATACAAATGTAAACTGTGTTCGAAAGCTTTTACACAATCGAGCAGTTTAATGGTACATATGCGATCGCATGCAACACGAAAACCCCATCAATGCGAAGTGTGTGAGAAGGGTTTTGTCAATTCGAGTAGTTTAATATTGCACATGAAATCACACACCGAAGGTGATCCATTTCCATGCAATGATTGTGACAAACGTTTCAAATCGGCCACACTATTGGCTGAACATCAACGCACACACACCGACACCTATTTGTATCAATGCTCGATTTGTCGCGAAGCATTCAAACAATCATGCGAATTGGTGCAACACATGAAAAACCATACGGGTGACAAACCATTTCAGTGTAGCATTTGTGAGAAGGCCTTCACTCAACCTGGCAGGTATTCTTTTTTTCAAGAATTTACATATTTGTTAATAATAATCAACGAGAATTTTTATTAATCTTTTTTCATGGATTTCCTTTAAATGTTTTTTATTTAAAAACCAATTTTATTTCTATTCTTTTAGCTTGAACACACACATGCGAATTCATACTGGCGAAAAACCGTTTGCATGCAAACAAAATGGATGTGATAAAACATTTACGCAAGCATCAAGTCTTTCGGTGCATATGAAAGTGCATTCGGGTGAAAAACAATATCGATGTCCACATTGTCAAAAATCATACAGTCAACAATCGTATCTCAACAAGCACATGCTCTTCCACAGCGGTAGCACAACGGCAGAAACGGCAGTTGCTGCATACACGTGCAAATGGTGCAACAAACCATTCAACGATTCCGTACAACTCATTCATCATGTAACACAAGAACATGGCAGTTCAAACGGTGGCGCCGGTTCGGTGGCTCAATGCATTATATGCCAGGCAGAATTCACCAGTGCTCCATCTCTATTATTTCATTTGCGCGAACACGTCGAGAAAGGTGAACAGGCCAAGCAATAAACAAACGAGAAAAAGGTTGACCGATTTTTTCTGTCGATTGATATTGTAGTGGAAATGAAAGTCGATGATAACATTAATACAAAGATTAAAAGTTTTAAGATGGCAGGGAATTTTTTGACCATTTTTTAATAGTACCCCAGATTTACCTAATTCTTTTCTTTTTTTTCAAACATCTTGTTTTGCTAAGCTCAAAATCAAATGATTTCCAATTCTCTGACAATTTCTTTCATTTTATTTTTTTCATACATTTTCTGAACTCAAATCTCCTCCCCATCACTATCTATACTCATTTTTTTCATTAAACGACTGTCTTTGAGTGTTAGAAATAGTAGAATTCAACCCGTTATTTAAGAATAAAAACAAAAAATATATATATATTTTACAATAAATATGTAAAGGATATATCATTGCTATAAGTATTGAAGAATTAGTTAAGCGAACAGACAAATAAAACTGAACAAAACTCCAAGATCAATTTAAAATTTAAAAAAATGCCAAATATTAAACCGATTAAATGTTGTAAGCGCACATCCAGTGTGCAAAACAGAAATGGCCTTAATTGAATGTAATATAAAAAAGTGGAAATAGTTAGCAGCTGGTGGGTGCCATACAAATCAAAATTTTAGTGAAAAGAACAAATAAAAATGAAATTTCCATGTTCAACAATTCATTTGGCCTATTAACAACACAGTTATTAAACATAAAAAAAGCGAAATTATGTTGATTTTAATTTCTATTTTTAGTTCCATGTGAAATAAACCAGTATTAATTTTTGTTTACAAAATATATTGATAAATTCTATTTAAAAATCCAGCCAGCAATAAATAAAAAAAAAATTACTGCGCTTTTTTCTCGAAAGATAACCACACATAAAGAGTATTATTATTCAGAACATTATTTCAAGAGTATATTCCTTATTAAGCTTAGTAAATTGAATAAACTGATTTGTGTTTCAAACAAATAGAGACAATTTCGGTGTCTTTTTTTCAACTCTCAATTTATACATCGCCTTTCAGAATGTACGAACCTACCACATCGTCTCTGTCGTACACGAACGCACATTCATTGAAAACATTATTGGGATGATAATAAATGGAATGGATCGCCACACGCATCTCTTTATCGTATTTGAAACTAGAAAGCAGCGTATGAGAGTGTTTATGAAATTCCAATTAGTAACGAAAAAATCGTTTTTTTTTTCACATACCAAACGTACATGAATCGATTTCAATTGAATGATACCACCATTCATCGAGCTGGTACAGAGGTCATGATAAGCAAACCTATTGATAATAATATTCATGTTCTAATTCAGGAAGAACTTGAAATCGAAATTGTTTTGTAATGAACGAGAAAAACAAAGTATATTTTGTACATTTTGATTTGATATTATAAAGATTTTGTGGACAAAATGGACGAAATCTAATCATTTTGAAGTGCATGTGTGTGCGAAAACAAATCGACCCAAATACTAAATTTAGAAGCTTACTTCATTCAATTATTTCGAGGCTTATTTCAAACATGAGTCGTAATAAAAAGGCTAGTGCTATTGCTTCAACAATCAAAATTTTCATTCAAAATTTGATGGATGTTACGAGATCTTCGTTACTAAAAAGATCTTGTCCACACATTCCAGTTGATAGTTTTTCTTTTAAATGTCTAAAACAGTCTATTGGACACGCGCTAAGTATTCATTTGCGAATAGGTTATCATCGACACCAACTTTTTCAGTTAAATTTATGATTTTTTTAACCGTCGAATTTTCCAATTTTGTGCGCGTTTATTTGAGAAGTTAACATTCATAAAATCATTTGGAAGAATATTGAAAACATTTGCTCGCAAAATCTTGGCTTTTTATTCAAACGAAAAATGTAAAATATATTTTTGATGATGTGTTCCGAATTCGAATGTAGATAAATCGCATCAAGATCAAGGGCTCAATTGATTGTAATGAAAAGATCGTGTCAACAACACACCATCCCAATCACGATTGGATCATCTAAATAGTTGTGGCAAGGCGCCAATTTTTCACCTAATATACATTTGGATGGTGGTGGCATGTGCTTGCCACAATTTACATTCATTAAATTTAGAATGAATTTCAAGTCATAACATGTTGATTCGTCATTTGCAATGCAAAACAAAAAAACAATTTATGAATGCAAGTGGCAAGTGCAGCGGATGAACGAAATGAAATAACAGCGATATTTAAGTGCATTGCAAAAGGGCCATTTCCACATTGTCGTGATTTCTTTCTGGGTCAAAGAACTATGTAGTTCCGAACTCGTCGGCCATACTCGATTTGACACATTTGAATGGGTTTCTTTTATTATCGTCAATCGTTTCGAGATTTTACGAGCTTAAAATGAACAAAAACTCAAGTTACAGTAGCAATAGCTGAATGAATGATGATTATAGAGTCGGAAGGAAAAAAAATAGTCTTATAGTATACATATAGCTGTATGTAGAGAGAAGTGGTTACAAAGGAAGTTATGTAAATAGGCCATGTACAGATAAAACACATTACTTCATATTCAGCATTCGCGTTTCTATGCTCAACTGTACGTTATATGTCTTAATCATTTATTTGAATATGGATGTTGAATTGAGTTTGTGATAATCTCGAAAAAGGAATGCGTTACTGCGTGATATATCCGCGTTCCAACTGCGCGATAAACTACTCTCCAAAATATAAAAATGCAAAATGAATTGAATTGAAACAAAAAATAGCGAAAAATAAATTTAAATTCACAATTTTTTTGTGCGTCCAAAACAGCTTTCGAACACTCATTAAGCAAACTAATTGAGTGTAAGATATGTACATTATTCAATGAATAACAAGCGGCGTGTTGGTTTTCCTTCCGCGACGATAATGTCCCGGCAATTCTAACATCGTTTATTGAAATACAGGCCATTCGTGATAAGATAATATGTACAGTGTCCAGCACACACAGAGACTAGAGTTGGAAAGAGAAAGACTGTAAAACTGTAATTGCACATCGCTTTTATTAAAATATGTTTATACGTTGTTCGTGGTGTTTTTTTTTCGTTCTTCAATTCTATTTCATTCGTTATATGTTCCTGTGTTCGAAACGAAAAAAAACTCTTATCCTCAAATTGTGTCGTATCATAGAATTGGACTTATTTTTAAATATTGTTGCTTCGCGAAAATAAAAACGTTTGTAACAAAAATTTGTTTAATTTACTGATAAATTCACTCGCATTACTTTCCGTTGCTTAATCTTGTTTTGGGTTACTCAATTCTGCGATATGCGACAAAAATGTCTGCGAAACATGAATTAAAACAGAATTTTATTTTTATTTATTTTTTAAATTTCTTCACTATGTATGTTGCAGTGAACTCTCATATGCATATTAATAATATATTATTTTGAAGGAGATGCCATCGAAATTGACTCTTTTGCGATTCTTTTCTTTTTCGCCAAAACTTTGACCTTAATTCGATCTCAAATCACATTGAATTAAATGTACTTGCGATCACCAACAATAACTTGAACAAATTTTAATGTTTGAATAGGAAAAAGTCTCTCTGTATTTTTTTAAAAAAAAAAAATCAAAAAAGAAGAAGAAAAAACATTTTTGATATGGAATTTCAAATATGAATGAATTTTGAGAGGCGCAAAAAAATGACTCTTTTCCGTTGTGCGACTATTCTAGGAAGTGAATGCACAGTAATGTGTAGAGAAAGACAAAATAAGGCGAAAGATAGAACGACTGATTTCATTTTGTGCATGTGTTGCTTATTACATCATCGTGTGGTTATCAACTCGCAAACACTCGAAAATAAAAATGAACTTTTTTAAATTGCACTTATGTGAATCAGCCGAGCGCAAGATGCATCTTTCAACTCAATTTCATTTGAAACCGATTTTGTATGCAAACATTGCGCAAAGATCATTCTTATTTGCATATGTGCTAAAAGCCACTCGCAACTTGAACGAATCGTATTTTGCGTTGGCCGTTTTTTTTTTGCGTAAGAATTTGTTTCCGTTATGGGTTAACTATAGCATTTTGCTAGTTTTATTGTCTTTATGTTTGATTGGTGCAAATCGGTTACGAACTCAATTTAATAGCGAGAGTGCATCGAATACACGCATATCCCAATCAATACGCATTCAATGCGAAAACATTCGTCACTGGAATGAATACGGCGATTATGGATGCGGTCGTAAATACAAATTCAAATCCTTCATTTCATGCACTCTTTCAAAGTGATTTTTATTGGTTTCTAATAGCTCGATGGAATTCATGTTACTCCGTTTACTACTCAATTATGCAATGAATATGTGAGCGTTGCGCTTTGTTGTGCGGTCGAGAATGTATGGTTTGACTGATTTTTTGTTAAATGCATTTCCGAAAATACATCACTCTTTCACGATGCTACCGAGAATTATGTGAAATGAAAACATTTTTCGAGAATATCGTAGATATGAAAGTAACAAATATGCATTCATTAATAGAATGAAGTGTGCGTATCTCTCTCTCTTCCTCTCTCGGTTCAATTTCAAACCCATTTTCAATTAGAATCGTGCCTTTTCAACTGGTTTTTATTTTATTTCCGCTGAAGGAGCAAAGCGGTGGTGGGGTCATACATTAAGTTGTTGTAATGATAATAATTATCATGAAATTTTTGTGTGTCTGCGTACGAATCGAATGTAAAATGCATTTTGACACACTTACTGTATGTAGTATACTCTACATCTGGTGGCTCGGTGCTTGGTTAATTTAAGAACCGGAGACTGACGTAAAAATTGAAAAAAAAAACTAAGAAGCGAAGACAAAGTTATTTCAGAGTAATGAGACACAGTCTCTATCTTCTTATTTTTTTGCTTTGCAAAATTTATTATTATTTTTATGGCTAGCATCTTGGTTGATTAGAGACGGTTGACAATGTGCGCTAATTCTATGCACAAACGTGATCAATCACTTAAACTGTGATAACCAACAGCCCCCACGTTCTTTTATCACATTTCGCGTGCAATAGGTCATCATTTAAAAGAATATTTTCTCTTGTCTTATCTAAATCAATCCTAATTTTGGACGGCTCGATACAGACGACACGAATGACACATACACACTCACGCATTCTATGGTATAAATTGTGGTCATTATAATTCATGTCACACACATATATAATCGAAACGCATCATCAGTGCAATGTGAATAAGGTCACTCGAATATTTTGTTCTACCATCTGTTTTATGCACACAAAATGATTTTCAAATAAATTACACGAAATGCTTGTCTTTAGCTTTTGCTCTCTGGTTGTTGTTTTTTTTTTTTTTCGCAAAAAGAATGATCCGGTGCACTGGAAACACAATGCAATTGGAAGCGTTTCAAAGTCAAATTGCTTAGGCCATGCAAATGCATTTTCAAGTAAATTCGAACAGTTGACGTATGTGAGAGATATGAAAAATATGAAATAGTACACAATTTATATGATCGGTGTTGGTGTTTTATGGT